TCCTGATGGCTTTCCAGATCTTTCTCGGGGCCGGGGAGATAGCTCAGTGGAATGATCCTGAGTTCAATCCCTGGTACCGCAAAAAAAAAAACCAAAACAAAAAAACCAACAGATCTTTCTCAGTTCATGGACTATCAACTTGTGCTTCATCTAATTTCTAGTCTTTTTTTTTTTTTTTTTTTTTTTTTGGCAGAACCAAGGTTTGAACTCAGGCCCTTGTGCTTGCCAGGCAAGTGCTTATTCTACTGAGCCATCTCTCTGGCCCCTCTAGTCTTTTTTTTTTCTTTCTTTTTGAGACAAGGTCTTGCTATGCAGTTCAGGCTGGCCTTGAGTGCACTTCATAGCCCAGGCTGGTCTTGAACTTGGAAGGATCCTCTTGCCTCAACCTCCAGAGTGCTGGAATTATAGGTGTGCACCACTACACCTGGTTCCTTTTTTTTTTTTTTTTTTTTTTTTTTTTTCATGAGATAGAGTCTTGCTCTGTAGCCCAGGCTGATCTCAAACTTGAATTGATTCTCTTGCCTCAGCCTCCTGAGTGCTGGGATTACATATGTGTCATTACACTGGGCTCTGACCCATTTTTGTACAGTTGTCCATTTCAAAATAACTCCATGCTAGCTCCTTCCTTAGCCTTCATGTGTCTTTGATTGTTTCTGCTAACCTCTTCCTCTTCTTCCCTGAAGGCTTGGCACCCTGTTGAGTTCTTCCTGCTGTCTGCTGCTTGCACTTGGCCTTGCTGGCAGGAGCAATCCAAAAGGAGCAGAGACTCAGGGAGCCATGGCTTGCGTGTTCGGTGTCTTAGTGACAGGAGGGTGACCAGTGGTGCATGTCAGGAAGGGCATCTGGTGGAAAGTGCTGGACGTGATCCCCCCCCGCCCCCCGCGTTACTGGAGATTGAACTCAGGACCTTGCGCTTGCCAGGCAAGCACTTATTCTACTGAGCTATCTCCCCAGCCCAGGATGTGATCTTCTGGAAGCTTCCTTTTTCTCAGTGAAAATAAGAAACAGAAGTTGCCCTCAGCCAGGGCATTGAGCTTGGGGATGGGACTGGAATAAACCCTGGTGGCACAGGTGCTACTTGCAGAGACTTAGGCTCACCACACCAAGACCACGTGCGTTTGCTGCGTGTCACGCGCCCCTGGCTGCCAAGCATGCTGTCATGCATCCCGGGAAGTGTCTGACAGTTAGGCAGGCAGTAGCCATGCAGTAGGAACTGTAATCCAGGTCTTAGAGCCCAGGGCCTGTGAGAAAGCGAAGCCCCAGGAGCCCCACCATGTCCCTAGCACATTGGTCCCTGGAAGTCTTCCTGCAGGGTTACATGGGGTTTGTCAGTCCGACACATAAGGCTTAGCCTGGTAGCAGCACCTGGAGGCGGGTGTGTCCAGGCTGGCGCTGTCTCTCCACTGCTCATCCCAGCCTGTGGCTTTGGTCTCAGACTGTGACTGGCTGTGGGGCAACAGCTGCTGCTTCTGGTGTGGCCTCGCTTTCAGAGCAGGCAATGGGGAAGGAGTTGTGTAACCAAGCAGCGCGTTCATCAGCGCATTCATCTCCTGCTCTCAGGAGAGCGCCTCAGAAATCCCAGCAGACTTCCCTTTATTTTCCTGAGTCAGAACTGGGCCACTGGCTGCAAACAAATGGAACTAACTGCTCAGTTGCTGCCTGTGTCTCAGAGGCCCAGGCGGCTGTGGAGATGGCAGCTAGGGGCGGCAGGGGCCAGGCAGCCCTGGTGTCTGGTGGAGGCTCACTGGCCAGGAGAGAGGCTCCAATTGATCAGAGTCTTTGGGGTCAGAGCATTCCCTGGGTGGAGTTTCTGGTGGCCTTGGGGTTCCTGCTACCTGGGGCTGCCTGTTAATCTGGTCCCAGGGGTGGGTGGGATGGGCAGCACCTGGTGTGGTGGTGGTGTATGGCCACCCTGCCTGTCCTGGCCACCCTGCCCCTTTCATGTTCATTGTTGAGAGATTTCCAGATGGTTCATAGTTGAGAGATTTCCTCCAAGGAGGAAGAGACATCAGAGGACCAGAGATAGGTTTTTCTTTTTAAGAAAACAGATTCACTGCCAAAATTACCATGCACTAAAAGAAGTTGTCCAGGATAAAGAATCTGCAAAAGTTAACTAACAAAGGATCAACATACAAAAGCCAGTAAGCTAGAAAATATGTGAACACAACAGAGGGAAACAACATGTGGGTCAACAGGAGGGAGGCTGCAGGTGGCGCCCAGCTGGGCCTAGTCTCCTGGGGAGGCAGCAGTGTGCTTGTCACAGGGCAGTGCACAACAGCCAGCACCCAGGAGACCCCATGTCCAGCCACACAGGCAAGGCCAGGACAGTGTGACAGCCACAGAGCTGTGGGGACAGAGCAGAGCCCACGCCCAGGCCCCATGGGTACTCAAAAGCTAACTGCAGGGGTGGGGAAGCCTGATTCCATCACGGAATGCAAGGCAACTTGCAGACACAACACATGCAGAGGAAAATGCACAGGAAGAGGAAGCCTGGCCAGGGTAGGGGTTGCCTGGGATGGAAATGTGATCATCCGGGGGTGGGGGGGGGGCTTGTTTGTCCCATTACTCTGTTCTTTGTCTGTGCCCCTGGTCTCCTGCATTGGGTAAGGCTTTCAGAGAGCTCAGGAGAGGTAGAGAACCTGGAAACCCCGGGCTCAGGCAGCAGTCTCAGTCTGTCCTGGACCAGTGCCCCGCCCCGTCTGCTTTCTATCTAGACCCTGGTATCTGTCACCTCTTCTCCTTGGCCACCCTCCCACAGCCAGTCTGGATTGCGATTATTTGTCTTGCCAACACTTTGCTGAGCAGGGTCACAGAAAGAACAAGAGTGCTGTGAGCAGATGGGAGCTGGTGGCACAGGGGCCTCTGTGCCTTTTCCTGCAGCTCTCCTGTGACTCCTCACCGCCCTGTCCTGTGGTCTCCTGTTTGTGGCCACAGCCAAGGGAAGGCTTTGACCTCCAAGAGGGCAGAGGCCTGAGCGTTTGCTGGGCAGCACTCAGTTGGGGCCCTCACCATCCACAGCCCTCGCTGGCCTGCCTTCTGCCCCTGTGCTGTGGGAGGCCGGGCGGGACCCCGAGGTGCTGTTGGGCATGCTGTGGGGCTCACCAATAGCTCCTCTGTTCCAGAGGCTGGGAGCTACGCACCTGCTTGCTTCCTCCCGCTCCTCTCTGCTAGAGGGCGAGGTTTCTGCTGGACGGGCTGTGACGTGCCACGGTGGGCAGCCTGAAAGGCGAAGAAAGGGCTTTTGTTGTGCACCTATTACATGGGAAATACAGAGATCCTTTCTTGGGCCTTGTCTTGGTCCAGGAAGTTTTTATGTGTAATCCCATGGAAAAGTTATTGGAAGGGGCTGGGGAGATGGCTCAGTAGAATAAGTGCTTGCCTGGCAAGCGCAAGGGCTTGAGTTCAATCCCCAGTAAAGGAAAGAAAAAAAAAAGTTATTGGAATTCTAATAAAGTAATTCCAATCTACCACTTGCAGTGCAACATGTGGTGAGAATAAAGACACTAGGGCATGTTCATACTTGTGGGGAACCAAGGGGTCCTGAGTCCGGCCACAGAGATGCTGTCCGGACAGAGGTCTCCTCCCAGGGCTGACTGTGGGGTTTTACTAATTCACTAAGAAGGGAGTAGCTCAGGGATGTGTGACTGAGAGGGGCGGGAAGCCGGTGAGTGCTGTGAGCTGGGCGAGGTAGGAGGCCTGCGTTCGCCTCTGCCACACGTGTGCAGGGAGAGGGAGAAGGCTCTGCAGACCGTGATCTGCACGACACAGCGGAAGTCCGAGCTAACGTTTTAGGGTGTGTGCCTCAGCGCCGATGTGTGATCTTTTATGCCCTGGGAAGTCATAGCCTCTTTAACTCCCAACAGACAGCGTGCAGCATGGGACTCCTTCCCACCCCACTCACACTTGTTTTTTGTTTTTGGAATTATGAGGCAGGACGACACTGCCCTGTCACGTTGCTGCACAGATGTGTCCATCAGCACCTTGCTGGACCGATTTGCATTGCTTAAAGCCAGTTGAAGGGATAAGAAAAAGTTTTGGCCAGTTCTGTATATGTGAATCCGTGGAAACGGCTGAGCTTAGCCACAGTGGGGATACTTGCCCTACTTTCAAGGAGAGTCCTGTGCTGTGTGTGCCCAGGGACCTAGCATGGAGGCGACGCTTTCCGGGGGAGCGTGCGCATCTGGGAGGCTGTGGCTGCCTGGCAGGTGGCGCTCTCAGGTGGATCGTGTTCACGGTGCACCTGGCAGTGTCACCCTGGCGTCAGCTGTGCAAGGCCAGTGTGTGAGCCAGGTGTGCTCTCCTGTGGGAGCCCACGGGTAGCTTACTGCTGGGGCTCTGGGGCTGACTGCGCACAGCAGAGCGCAGCTGGGGCCCGAGCCCGAGTGGCCACGGCTGCTGGAGCACTCCTGTACCCCACCCCTGCGCCATGCCTGTTCTCAGTGGCGGCTGCTGTCACCTTCGCCCTGCCTCAGCAGTCACCTCCCACTGCCCATGGTTGCCCTCAAGCTGGGCGTGGGCCCAATGTAGGTGCGTCTTGTGTAGTCCTTGGCTGGGATGGGTTTCCACTCCATCATTGCCGGTCCTTGGACGACAACGCTGGTGTCTGGCTGGGTCCCTCGGGATTTGCAGGCAGATCTGAGGGAAGGGAAGAGTGCTCACCCGCCCATCGGCAGTCTCTGCTGGGTGCAGGGCTAGGGCTTGGCGGCTCCTGCTAACATACTCGTGATGATGTGAGAAGCTGAGACAGCGGCTTCCAGGGGGTCCTCTGTTCTGTATCATTTTGATAGTAAACCTGTATTAATGTATCAAGCTGTTGTATCAACCTGAATGGAGCCGGCCCTGGCGGTTCACAGCTCGCTTCTGCAGTGTGGTCTGTCCAGCAGGGCAGGCACGTTCTCTGCCTCTCCCTTTCCTGCACCCTGAGAATGTCCGGCCCCACAGGTGCTGGGCACACAGCAGGGCACGGGCCTGGCTGGCTCAGTTCCCGTCTCTGATCGCAGGTCGTGGCGGCGCGTCCATCTACGGCAAACAGTTTGAGGATGAGCTCCACCCTGACCTCAAGTTCACTGGTGAGTGTGAGGGGTGGGGTGAGGTGGGGGTGGGGGTGGACAGCTGACTCCTGGCTGGGATTCAGGGTGGACCAGACACCGTGGCAGGGTGCCAGGGTGCTGCCAGCCGTGGCGCCACTGGAGCCCTGGAACAGGAGCTGACATAGTGCCTCTTGCTGGGTCTTGTGCAGCTCTGAGTACCACCCTGGGGTTCTGCACTCAGCGAATGTCACGAAGCCAAGGATGTCAACAGAGTCCTCACAGAGCCTATGGGTGTTGGAGGGAATGGATGACATGGGCCAGTGGTTGGGGGGCCTCGGGGACTCGCTGGGAGTCGATGGGACCCAAGGTTATGGAGCAGTGCAGTGTTTACCCGTGTGCAGGACAAAGGGGGCACTCCCCACAGCCGCACCTGCGAAGACCATGACTGCTTCACACACACGGTGCGGTGCCTGGGCTGGAGCTGCACATCACTCATGCTCTCCCTCTCCCCCTTCTCCCCCAGGGGCTGGAATCCTCGCAATGGCCAACGCAGGACCGGACACCAATGGCAGCCAGTTCTTTGTGACCCTCGCCCCCACACAGTGGCTCGATGGCAAGCACACCATCTTTGGCCGAGTGTGCCAGGGCATCGGCATGGTGAACCGTGTGGGGATGGTGGAGACCAACTCCCAGGACTGCCCTGTGGACGATGTGAAGATCATCAAGGCATACCCTTCCGGGTAGACCGTCGGCTTCCCACCAGCCAAGTGACGCTGACTTTGGCCCCTCTCGCCAGTGCACCCCGCGGGGTCCTGGGAGGGCCGAGACAGGAGTGCATTTACCCAGATGTGTCTTTCTCTCCCCAGGGTCTGGGTGGGTCTCGGTGGTACTCACTTTGGTGACCTGACCCTGTCCTTCCCACGTGCTCTGCACTGATGTACACGGATCGAAAGGGTGCAGCCCGGCCCTTCACACATTCCTATTCTGGCCCACCCTCAGGATCTAGCGTCACCCGCCCCAGAGTCCCAAGCAAGCGTGGCTGCGGCCCGTCACCTCTGCACACCACCCAGTCTCTGCCACTGGTGCTTCCAGGGAATGTGAATGCTCTTGCTATATTTTCCCTCAAAACCAGAACATCAGCACTGCTGCTGTGACACGTAGACACCTCACGTAAAGCCACATTGAAGTTTTGCCAAGTGAAAACTGCATCCAGCAATTTCTAAGAAGGTGTCTAGGGAATGATAATGCGTGGTGATGGAGGCTGGAACTTACCAGAGGGAAGCGGAGGCGTTGACTCTTTCTTGCCCGGGGACGTAGAAACCTCCAGAACTCAGGGCAGACTGTGCCCCTCCTCAGAAGCAGCCTTGCAAGGAGAGGCACTGCGCAGCTCTCTAATTAGGACTGCAGAGAAGTCACTTAAGAGAGTTTTATACTTTTTTGAAAAATCTTAATGGGGAGGGAGGAAGGGTGAGGAAGGAGTTCATTCCTTTGTAATACACAGAGTCATCAAAATAAAGTGCCGTCCCCTGATGGTTGAAATGACTGCTGTGGTCAGATTTTAATTGCTTTTTTGGTATTTTTGAGATAAGATCTCACTGTGTTGCCAGGCTGGCCTTGCACTCGTAGCGATCCTCCTGCCTCAGCCTCACAGATGCTGGGATTACAAGTATGTGCCACCAGGGCTAGCTTTGTCTTTAACTTTTTTTTTCCATCTTCCTGTCTTCTTCCAACCATGACACAATAAAACCCAAGTAAATTGTGTGAGTGACTTTGTAACTTCCCAGAGAAAGTTTTGCCCTGCAAAAAAGAATGTACTTTTTTTTTTTTTTTTTTTTTTTTTTTGTGGAACCGGGGATTGAACGCAGGCCCTTGCACTTGCCAGGCAAGTGCTTATTCTACTGAGCCATCTCCTCAGCCCAAGAATGTACTTTCTGGGAAAATAAGAATACTTTTTTTTTTTGGAGACAGGGTCTCAACTTTGTAGCCTAGGCTGGCCTCGAACCGGCATCAGTCCTCCAGCCTCAGCCTCCCAGGTGCTGGGATTATAGGCATGCGCCATGCTGCTTGGTTTAGGGAAATACAGATATTTTCAGGCAGACTGGGTGGACATACTGGAGCTACCGAAAGAGGAGGGAATAAGGCACTGGTCCCTAACCTCCCAGGATACCAGGTGCCACCTACAGCGAGGGCATGGGGCAGGGGCAGCATCACTGTCCCTCTGCATGGAGAAGCCCAGGCTTGAGGATGCTGCTCCTTGTTTTTTTTAGACAGTAGTATTTTTTAAAAAAAATTATTTTATTTTATTTTATGTGTGTGTGTGTGTGTGTGTGTGTGTGTGGCCAGCTCAGCCCACCAGGGGGCGGCGCTGGCTGGCATGTGGTGCTGGGGGATTGAACCGTGGTCCCTGTGCTTTGTTAAGCTTGTTCTAAGTAGGTGCTTTAGACCACTGAGCCATCTCACCAGCCCTGCTCCTTGTTTTCACAAAGGCTTGCGGGTCCATTTCCACAAAGCATGCCACTTCAGAGTGACCCTGAATGGTGTCAACGTCTTTCAGATTCTGCCAGTTAGCCAGAGAGGTGGACATCCTGTTTCCATGGAAAGTCAAAGAGGAGGACTGGTGAGATGGCTCAGTGGTCTAAAGCACCTACTTAGAACAAGCTTAGCAAAGCATCAGAGACCGCGGTTCAATCCCCAGCACCACATGCCAGCCAGGCCTGCCCCCTGGTGGGCTGAGCTGGCCACACACACACACACACACACACACAAATAAAAACTTAGAAAGGCAAAGAGGAGTCCTGTTGAATTCTGTTGTGCGTGTCTGCAACTTTTCGGTGAAGACAGCGGGGAAGCAAGGAAGTATCTCCTAAGAGGGACGCACCATCCACAAGAGACACTGAAGATGTGGGAGGGCAGCTGGGCTGCTCAGGCGACAGTGGCAACTTGGGGAAAGGCTGCAGTAGGGAGAGGACAAGGCAAGGAAAGCCTTCAGATGAGTACCCTGGAGAATGGAAGAAGGTGGCACTTGGGTATGACCCGTGCCTGGAGGCCGCCTGCCCAGAGCACCTCACTTCACCGCCCTGGGATCCCTGGGTGGCCCAGCAGACAGTGTGCGGGCCCCACCTATAGGCCTGGCACTGAGGCTGATTAGGAGTTCAAGGCCAGCCTGAGCCACATAGCAAGACTGTCACATAAAACCAGGAACAGGACCAAAGCCACCAAAGGAGGTGACTGCCTGTGCCCACTCCACCCTGAGTGCCAGCATCCAGGATGAGCAGGGTGGGCTTCCTCGGGGACACGGCATAGCCAGATCTGCCTCATCTGGAGCCTGGCAAGAATGAAGAGACCCACGCCTGGGGCTTTGACTACTCAGGCTGAACATAACAACAGCACTCTCTTTACATCCACTTTAGTCACCACGATGTCAGACCCTCAGGTGGCTGCCACAGTGGGAGAATTCAGGGAAGGTGGCACCCACAATGGCGACACCGCAGAAAAGGCCTTGAGCCCAACAGCCAACCCCAGCTCCCAGCCTGGCCCGGTGAACGTGCACAGATCTCCCTGTGCTTTGGCTTTCTCAGCTATGAAATGGTGATCACAGCCCTGACTTGGCGAGGCTGTTGTGAAAGTTCAGTGAGGTAGAACAGGATCTATCACCTAGAAAACTCTTAAAATGCCAGCTGTTGTTACCAGTGCCCTTGAAGCTGTACGTCCATCCGTCTCAGTGCTGAGGGTAGAACCTAGGGCCTGCTTCGTGCCAGGCAAGCACTGTGCCACCCAGCTACACCCCACCCCTGCCCCACCCTGTCAACAGCCCCTGCTGTGCTGACCTTTGGGAGCAAGAACCTGTCCTGCTCCCCACTGTGTCTTCTCAGCACCTTGTGAAGGCTTTGAGGTTCCTGGGAATGAATCCAGCTGCCCTTAGGCAGAAGGAGATTGAGCCCAGAGGCAGGCGCAGCTGTGCCCTGGGTCAGAGACCCAGGCTTCAGCAGGGTGTGGTGGTGCACTCCCAGCACTCCAGGAGGCTGAGGCGGGATGATCTCTGAGTTTGAGGCCTGCCTGGACTACATAGTGAGTTCAAGACCAGCCTGAACTACATAGCAAAACCCTGTCTTAAAAAAAAAAAAGCTATGGCTCTCCTGGCAGCAAATCCTTTCCACTCAGCCCCTGGAAGTCCTCAGTTTGATTTATTTTTGGATCCTGTGTCCAGAATATGTCAGAATGGCTTTCCCTGCACCAGCCGGGTGATTGCTGCCCAGTTCTTGGAGCCAAGCTGAACTCCCGCTGCAGCCCACGGGGCACTGCATCCTGGCAGCGCTCGGAGGAGGTCACATTTGTTAAAGTGGCGAGTTTACTGGCGCTGTGCACTTTGGCCTCAGAGCCCAAGACCACTTAGGAAAAGGTCAGGACCTGGGATGTTCCAGCAGCACCCTGGTGGATGAGGGGAAGGAAGCAGGGTGGGGTCTTTGCCTGAAAAACCGGGTCCCTTTTTGTTCTTCCAAACCAGTCCGTCTCTGGAATGGCAGATGGCCACTTGTGGGCATGGGTGTGGGCAGAGCAGCAGGAGGCCTTGACGTGACCCAGAGGAGCCCCCTTCCTTCTGGACTTCAGTGCCATCTTCCTTCCAGTCCTGGTCTGAACCTGGCCTCTTCCAGTCTTCCCCCAGCCCCCTGCAAAATCTAGGTCAACAAGATTTCTTCAGCCTTAGCATGCTGTTCCGGAGATCTGCCACTAGAGGCCGCTGCGAATGCAGCTTTGCCTCCAGCTTCAAAAGGCAGAAGGCTGCCAGTGCCTTTCAGGATTTCACTAACCGCGCCCGCCTGTCCTCGGATGTGCAAAAGCAGCGACTGCTCAGATTGTGAGTCTAGGACGAGACGGCAGCCTGGCACCGCGGGAGCCTGGAGACACGCCGGCACGGGCTGAGCAGCCTCCTCCTGTCCGACTGAGCAGTGATTAGGACCAGCGCTGTGGCACACACCTGCAACCCCAGCACTCGGGAGGCCGAGGCAGGAGCGTGGCTGCCAGTTTGAGGTCAGCCTGGGTTCCATTAGAGACCCCCATGTCAACAAAAGCCCTCCCCTGTAGTTGGATTCACTCCTTCAGCAGGCAATACCAGCCCCTCTTACACCAGCATTAGCAAATATTTTCATAGACTCAGAGAAAGTCAACCAGAAGGGACCCTAGAAGAAAATGAGAAGTTCTGGTTGCCCTCTTGTGTTTCAGGAGTCGTGGATGCTTCTCAAATAGATTTTCCTCTTAATCCCTCAAACCTCCCTCAGAGGTTGGCAAGAGGTCTATTTCCAGATGAACAAACTGAGGCTCAAAGGTGGGGACAGCAGAAGTTCAGGACAAAAGAATGGATTGAATAAGGGCACGGGGCCTGCGTGGCTAGAAAAAGGTGGACCTAGGACTTGGGCTTTTTCTCCTTTTAAAAAAATATTTGGTACAGGGTCTCACTACATAGATCGGACTTGTAGTGATCCTGTTTTTCAGCCTCCCAAGTGCTGGGATTACAGGTGTGTGCCACCACATCCAGTCTCAATTGCTGTCTCAGTGTGCCCTGGGGGTGGGGCTGGCACAGCACGACAGGGATCCAACCCTGGCCACTGCGCTCTGCCTACACAGGCTCTTTAATCTGCTGAGCTATCTGGCCAGCCCCCTTTTCTTTTTCTCTCTTCTCTTCTCTTCTCTTCTCTTCTCTTCTCTTCTCTTCTCTTCTCTTCTCCTCCCCTCCCCTCCCTTCCCCTCCCTTCCCCCCCTCTCTATTTTTGAGTGTCTCAATCACTATATAGCTCCAGGCTGGCCTCTAACTCATAGCAATCCTCCTGCTTCAGCCTTCCGAGTGCTGGGATCGTAGGCATATGCCACCGTGATCCACTGTTGCCCCATCTTATACTGTGAGAAGCAAGGGCAGGCCTGTGGCAGAAGGGGCGCTCTGCTGCCTGGAGCCTGACACCTGATTCCCACTGGGCCTGATGGAATTATCAGAAATGAGCAGATAAATGCTTCTCATAATTGGACAGCCTGAGGTGGACAAGGCAGAAAGAAGCTTGCCTGGTGAGCTGCCAGTGTGCCGCAGGCTGCTGGACCTGGGGGGGGGGGGGCACTAGGCACAGGGCCACTGGGACCCCAGGCCCCAGCTGGGGAGCTGGCCTCATATTCTGTGCATGGTTCTGGTAACTTCGGCAGGGAAGCCAGCAAGGACCAGTAGCTTGGCATGAACAAGGATTTTATTTTATCTTTGGTGGCCTTTCAGGCCTGCCTGGTGCAGGTACTGCCAGGAAGGTAGTGATGACCACACCCTAGCATTCCTGGACCAACAGGAAGTCAGGTGACACCGCCCTCCTTAAAGGAGCTGAGCAGCTGAGCCCGGGAAAGATCCAGAGACTCCAAGGGCCACAGAGCACCCGCTGGCCTCTGTCACCTCTGCTGCTGAGGAGGCACAAGCCGGGGTGCAAGGCCGGGGAGATAGCCCTGTAGATGAAGTGCAAGCACTGGGTCCTGAGTTCAATCACCGGTATTGAAAAAAAAAAAAAAAAGCTTCAG